AAATAAGTTTTATCGGTCTGGTAATTTGTATGGCATGGGTGCATAAAGCTAAAAGTGATAAAGTGATTAAAAGCACAATTTATATTAAAGATTGTTTATTTTTTTTCTCCCACGGTACTAGGACGGGTGAGTTCGGAATGACCACACTCTTTGCTCTTGAATTTAATGTAAAATAAAGTTGTCCTCCAAAGAGGGGGGGTGGTGGTGGGCAATAAAGAAAGAAAAAAAAAAGTTGCGCGTCAAATGATTGTCCGTGGGGGGCAGCACTTGGCGCAGGCGCACTCACGCAGACATCCCATTTCAAAATGGCGGCGCCGACGGGGCGCCTGTTATTTCAAATAAACCCTTTAAGCATAACGTTTTTAAGTAATGAGCCAATGTGAATAATAACGTAAAGCGCCCTAAGCATTTCGACAACAAGAATAAAGGAATAACGCGGGTAATCCTTGTTAAAATGAGCGCATGCTCTCTCTCTCTCACACCCTCGCTTGCCTGTAGCGCATGCGCTCTCTCTCTCTCTCTCTCACACCCTTGCTTGCCTGTAGCGCATGCGCGTAGAGACACTATTGTCTTTAAAGAGCTGCTTCGCTGTCAAATTGGTGACAAAATGGCTACCGGCGGAAATTGTTGTCGTGATGCTAACCGATGGCCCTGGATTGTGAGAAGCACGCCACCATCCTGACAGAATGCACATTAACTCTATTTGTTAATCTGACTTATTTGTAAATAGTATAAAATAATTTATTTATAATTTAAATAAAAGTCGAGCTCTAACACCACAGCCCCGGGTTGTTTAGCAACATTTAGCTAAATTCATTTACGTTTAGTTAATCAAAAGGAATAAAACAATATAACTTAAAAAGATGTACAGTGGTACCTCAGTTCTCAAACTCATTAGAACTTGAATTACTTAAAAGTCGAACCAACCAGTTCGAAAAAAAATGACCTAGGACTCGATCTGAATCTCAGAAGTCAAACCGTGAACGCCGACCTAAGATAACTTGTACGTGGGGGGAAATGAGTCACGTGGCATGTCTCTCAGTGGAAACAAAGGGTAACGCTTCAGTCTCAGCCTCGCATTTGCTGTGATAGCATCGTGCATGTTTACACTAGCTAAATACATGTATTGCGACAGTAAAAATACATTTAGACAATGATACAGTAACAGTAATTATTATTATATAATAATATACATTTTAAAATAAAGATTTCTTATTAATTATTTTTATATTATTCATAGACCATTAATACATTTAATTATAATGATACTGTCGTGCTGAGCGTGGACGGAACAGAGACAAAGGTGCAGACATCAGGGTATCAGGGAATACTGGGTTTAATTACAGGTAAGGCAGGCAAAACGCAGACGGACAATATAATAACCGGACTGGGGAAACAACACGGACTAAATACAGAGGACTAATGACAGCAACCAGAAACAGCTGATCACACGGGGATTTCACATGAGGTTAATGAGGGGGCGTGGCACACGGAAGGAGCGGACGATAGGGGCATGACACATTATTTTTTTTTAACTTTACACCAGGGGTCTCCAACTCTACTATCCAGTAAGTTTTCTATCCTACCTGGCTTCTGATGAGCCACACCTACTCCTGGTATTTACCTGAGAACTAGGTAGGATAGAAAACCTACTGGATAGTTGCTCTCCAGGACCGGAGTTGGAGACCCCTGCTTTACACATTGTTTGGATACATTTATTTTCTTACTTTAAAAATGACTGTTTTGATAAATGTGCTTAGATGTATTTAGTACAGGATATGCTCTTCTTGTTTTATCTGGTTCATTTTATGTTTAAATGCTAAAAAACATATTTAGGTGTAATTTTTAGGGGCCGGGAACCAATTAATTGGTCTTCCATTATTTCTTATGGGGAAAATTCGATCAGAACTCGAACTTTTTAGGATTTGATCCGGAGTTCTGAACGGATTAAGTTCGAGTTCTGAGGTACCACTGTATATGCAAGAAATGCACCGCAAATGTTAAAATACAAAGTAGATAACACTTCGATTGAGGGGGCACAGATAATGTTGTTTAGATACACAGATAATGTAGATAGAGTAGTACACTCCTACTTAATGCATTAATGAACTAGTAACTAAGTTACATACTGAAACCATGTTCATAGCACGGATGGAATGCTGTTCCCTCCCATGTGAAATAAAAGTTTTATAGCATGTAACAGTGTTGTCTTTTAATTGTACAAGGTACTTAAAAATTTACTCTCAGATGGGCATAGCATGGCCCTAGAACCTTCATCAAATAAAAATGAGATCCAACGAGTCCTCGGAAACACAGG